GCTGTACCCCCTGCCCTGCCGCCCATGCATGCATAATATATTTATATTATAGATCGAGATATTTAATAGTCTTTGCAGTAGATCGATCGTCCTATATTAAATTAATATTGATGTTTTACCTATCAATTATCATTTAATTAGTTTAAATTCAATTGGTAGCACTGTACCGAAAGTGTTTTATTTAATCATTCATAGGCTAATTTAATACCACTAATCCTTTTTCGGACACTCACACATTCTTTAAAACAACAACAACAGTTAACAACTATACTTTCTCACGATCCGCCCTGGCTAGCTGGTGAGAACAATGCAAACATGGAATGAATAGCCAACGATCGCGCCACCTAATGTATGTGTGTATGTACGTACGTGTTCGTGTGTGTACTGTAGTAATCTTGAAGTTGGTTCGTTCGTAATCACTCAAGCATCACGCGCTGAAGAGGCTCATGTTTTGAAAACAAAAGCAGCTGACCCTTTTCCATTGTTTCTGGCTCTAGTTCTTTTGTGAGATTCATCGATTGGTATTAGCTACTACTGCAACTCTAACTTATTCAAGGCCTTCTTCTAGCAATCTAGAGCTGAAATCTACAGGCTTCCACTGCACTCAGCTTATCATAATCAGCTAGTACTAGTTGCAGGCAACTCAGTTCCAACCAACTTTAGTCAAGTACAGTCTACAGAGAGTGGTGCAGATGTAGGCCAGGTACGTAGAAAATCTGTATTTTCTAAGAACTCTATGCCTAGCCTCCTAACTAAGATAGGAGTAGGACTACTACTAGCCTAGAGCATGTTAAGTAGACCTCTACAGGCATATAGTATGCTAGAGTATAATTCCCTAGGTCTATACTACTAGACTCTATCTAGATCTGGTAACTAATATCTAGACTAGGCTAAGGCCTAACACTAACACTACAGTAAGGGCAGGCTTAATTATAAATGAAAAGTGGCCCAGGGGCGGTATTATTTCTAATATTGTTGTATCTTTTAAGATAAGATAAAGTTGGTATTCTGAACATTGTTGTAACTTTTGTGTTATCTTTTGTTGTATCTTTTCTCTCATCTTATTGGCCGCGCCTGCGCTCATACTTTGGTGCGCTTGTAATGTGCATGTTATTAATAAAGTGGCATTTAAATCCTCATTTGCATATGCGCACGGGAGATAATATGTCGAGATAATTGGTATTCTGAAAGTTGTTGTATCTTTTATCTTAATCATCTTATCTTGCATGGTATTTACAACAATATTTACAACAGGTAGGGGGTTGTTGTATCTTTCGTGCCAATAGACGAGTTAGAAGAAGATTGTGTGTTGACCGTAAACATCACAGATGAGAACTTTCTAAGATATTACATGCTAGGATATGACGACTTTAATGCTCTCATCTTAACCAATATAGTAAAAGCGTGATTTGTCTTCATGATCCACATTCAACAGCGCATAATGATGACGCGCGTAATAAGTGCTCAAATAACTAATTACGCCCAAGATTAGTATGCGCTAGGCGCATCTTCAGATATGGCATAAAGTATTCCTATTGGTTGACCTACTTATCATGCTTATTTAAAATAGATTTTGATTGGTAGGGTCCATAAAAATGGGCGTGTCATCAATGGTCAAAGATAAGATAGAGGCGGTCCTTCAAGAGATAACATAGGGATAAAACAATGTTCAGAATACCAACTTACAACTATATTAGCGCTGTGTTATCTCTTGAAGATACAACAAAAGATAACACAAAACTTACAACAATGTTCAGAATACTGCCCCAGGACTGCATCATGCATGGTTTTGAGAGGGTGCTCTGTGATGTATCTATACTAATATAGGCCTACACTCGTATAGATAGAACTAAGTTAAAGACTAAGTCTAAGACACTGAGTCTACTCCAAAAATAATTTTTACGTTTAATAGGCCTTGAGTCTAGATGCAGAAAAACAAGAGAAACCGAGCAAAACGAGGTCACTCTAGAAAACTGGAAAAGAAATATGCAAGGCTAGATCAATAGTCGATAAGAAAATACTTTTTTAGCAAGGAGCTGTGGATCGGTCTCCCAGAAAACGTGGCAGCTGGGTCGGTCAACTCATTTAAGAATAGACTTGATAGTCACTGGTCAAAGAATGCAAGCCTTCTGTATGAGCCGGTCTAGACTCTAGTCTAGGTGTTGTCTGTTGTCTTATATTAGATAGCTTAGACAGATACCGAGATGTGATTGGTCCAGAGCTCGTCACGTGATATCAATTGTGAGGATCCAAATTGTTATATTTTCCTGGCCGGTCACTTTTCGGTGTTATATTAACCAGCTGGTGAAATGAATATATTTTTAATCAATGCATGTCGCCCTCTTGAGGACTGTATGTCACCAATTACACACATTACACCATTACCGAAGGTCATTTTAATTTTGTCAATATTTTTTTTTCATGAATTTTTTTTTTCCTTGAAATTATTTTTTCCACATTTTCTTCTTTTTTTTCCCCAAAAAATGCTTTTTGGGTAAGAATTTGTTTTTTTTTCTATTTTTTTTTGTTTTTTTTTCCCCCCCCAAATTTTTTTTTTTTTTCTTTCTTGAACTATCTCGACAGATTATTTTTCCGTAATTTCCGAGAAAAAAAGGGGTATTTTTTTCTCGGGCAAACAATTTTTGGACCCCCCCCCCCCCCCACAAAAAAGGGCTATCTTATATAACAGTAATTGACTGGCAGGGGGTATATAACATTATTTGGACCTGAAGGGAGTTATATTTCCCCTCGTGACCATATTTTCCCTCAGCGCTGCGCGCTTCGGGAAAATATAACCACTTGGGAAATATAACTCTCTTTAGCGGTCCAAATAATGTTATATTACACCCCCTGCCAGTCAATAACTGTATAATGTTATTACACAGCCTCCTCCCTCCACAAATAGCAGTAACCATGGAAGAATCGTGGATCGATGAACAGGCTTAGACCTAATACCTGTTCACCACCGTGTATTAAAGTAAAGTAAAGTAAAGTTTTTAAAAAAATTGAGTAAAATCGGATATTAAACTAAAAAACCGATAAGGAATAGATTTCTAGTAAGTTATGATTTTTTTTTTAAAGTATGAAAAACTGTGGAACTAAAATCACTACACAAATTGCCAATTTGGGTATCAGTTTATGCCGTCAATGCCTCACTAATTGCTTTATATATTTGTATCCTATTAATTTCCCTTTTTATCCCCAAAAACTTGATTTCGCCATGCCTTTGCTCAGGTATATGATTTGTATACATTGTAGGTCTAGTCTAGATCTAATAATATAGCGTGCATGACATTTCACAAAATCTTTTATGAACTTTTAAGATTTGGTACTATTTTCTGAATATTGTATATTCAAAATCAATGTTTTTGATATAGGGCCTAGGCCTATATCATGTACATGTAGTTTATCAAAATTCACATTTTTCATGATTTAACAGAATTTAAAAAAAAACCCTCTATATTAATGCATCCAAGCGATACCATAGGGCCTATTACTATTATAACTAGAATGATGGTGTGAGAAAATATGATTTTTACTTTTAGGGGAAATTATGGAAATTAATATTATCAATATGAAGGAAACAATAAGTGGATAGTGAGGCAATGACGTCACAGACTCATGAGTGAGTTTCCAATTCGTCTAGTGATTTTCAAAGTTTTTCATGTCGTTTAAAATAAAAATTCATTGCTTTATTATTAGTTATCCGATTTTGCTCAAACTTTTTTTTGACTGGTTTCTCTGTTTTTTCAGTTCTATTGAAATTAATTTATTTTTGGAGTGGACTTGCCCTTTAAGTTCTATACTAGCCTAGACTCTAATATGTCTAAACTAGCTATATAGTAACTAAAGTAAATACTGAAGTAAAACTATGTAGATCTATTCTAGGCCTAGATCAAATTATCACCTATTTTTTATTCTGCCTCTTTTATTAACCCGAGTCCTGACTGAGGCTAAAGATTCTGACACTTTTCCAATTGCAATATGATCAATTGATTATCATTTATTGTTTGGAAAGAAAATGCTTGATCCATCACCAATCCAAAGGCAAATTAACCCAAGGAAAACACTCTAGTCTCTAGCCTATTTGTATACCGGTAGACCCTATTGCCTTAAATTAATAAAAAAATAAAATTATACCAGTAGTTCTAGTAGGTCTAGTCCAGTACCAAATTGACAAAATAAAGAAGGGAAACCCGGTTAGTACTTATTATAGAAATACTTTGAGCTGGAAATGTTGATCTAGACTCTAGAGAGTAGTCGGGATTAACATTAGCACACACATTGACATGATATAATGTACATGAATTCTTCAGTAATAGCTACTCATGTATCATTTTTAAAATTATGAACAGTGCGCTACCACGTACCAGTTCACTTTGCACACTCTACCAAATATTGATGAGATTTCAAGGTTAATTTCTTTGGCATTGTAACCTTTCCTTTTCTTTTGTTTAGAGCAAATTAATGAATCTGTGTTTGAAGAAGTAAAAAAGTGAATAGATTCATTTATTTTCTTCAAATTGAAAAAGTTGTGTCGCAATATAGCCCCTCTCCACCTTAAGAGACCAACAGAAATTCATATTAGTTTGGTTGAAGGAATTACGGTAGCCCTGATTTTCAAATATTCCTCAATCTCTTGTAAAAATTTGAATTAAACAGACAAAAGTTATACGTGGCAATGAAAACTAAATATGTTTCTTTCAATTTAATTTTGGCTGAAGGGGCAATGCAAGTGTTACTCCCTTTAATGCCAATAATTGTAATGTCTTAAATCCAATTGTGATTTGTGAATGTTGTAACAGCCCTATTTACATTTCTTTTTTACTTTATTTTTTCTTGGGACAACTGTGAAGTTCCTTTTGCAGGAAGGGTATTAAATATTGAATGTGAAATATCAGAAATAATACAAGGGAGTTGAATATTTTAGAAACTTGTCAACTAACATTTAAGGCACTGAAAATGCTCTTCAGAATATTACATTGTAAACACTAATTGGCATGGGGTCCAGAGGGTTAAGCCCCCAGAAGCACGTAGGCCTCTATTCATGCTTTGTTGTGTACTAAGAAATAAAATCTAGGAATTCTGTGAAGGACCCTGATCTCTAAATATGTTATTATTTCCAGTCAACCCTGTTTTGAAGCTCAACTATTTAAAAAGATCACTAAAAATTTCAATTTTTAGAGCGGTTCGCATGTTACTGAACCTCTTTATGATGACCACCTGTCCACAAAGGCCACTTTTGCCAGCTTCCTCAGGAAGGTTGTTTGACAAGTTTGACTGTACTGTGAATCCTCAACAATATGTACTGAATATATCCTCAATAGTGCTTTTCTTTTCCCTAATTTATTGTTTCAGCAGCAGTGAGAGACAGAAATACTACAAGCACATTCAAAAAGCGAAGGCAAGCCCAGACAAATATATGAGCATCATCATCGATGGGATATGGATCAACACTGCACAGCAATACCGCAACTACACCCAGCACCCAAAGCCCTAAGCCACACGGACCAACTCAACACACACATCACTGGTGCAATTGTAGATGGAAGTGGTCAACACACTCATATCGACATCAAAGAATACCTTCATGACAGCAACCTCACCATCAACATCATCCTCAACATTCTCATCCACTGCACCGACTCCCTTCCACCAACTTTGTATCTCCGATTAGACAAGACAGCAAGGGAGAACAAGAATCGACACGTCTTTGCCTTTCTCTCTCTCTTAATGGAGCTCATTATCTTCAAAAAGGTGAATAAATCCCTTTAAATAATCTCTATATTCTATAAACCTAGGCTAATTGCAATTTCCTATTTCATGTTACCTATTGAAAAAAATCTTGGCAATAATGGCAATACTTTGACAATGTCATTAAATTGAAAGGAAACCAAAAGCTGGCTGCCTTCTCTTTGTTTTTAAAGCAATAGGGTACTTGAAAAAAGGGTGTTTTTCTTTTCCCGTTCTTTAAGATTTTTTTTTACCAACCTGTGTGTGTGAATCTCACACACAAAACCAAAATTGAATAATTATACTACTTATTAGCTGGACCTAAAAGATTTCACAAAAGAATCAATATTTTAATGCCTCTGCTACAAAAACTGATTGAGAGATTCCCGCCAAACCTGGGTCATGTTGTGGGGCTAATTATGTATGCCTATAATTAGCATGTGAACGCATTATCATAAGAACTGACAGATGGATTACTATCAAACTCAGGACATGTATTTGTCTTGCAGAGCCATGTATATGAAAAATAGCTTGTAATCACGATATTCTGAGAACCTGTTAATGGATTGCAAACAAACTTGAATTAAAAAAATTCTTCTGGTTTGGTTTGTAAAATCACTCTATGGCGGAGGCTTTGCGCAGTCTTTGTCCCTCCTTTGAACATAAGGAAGACACCAAAATCGCTGCCTCTGCCAGCGGATGCATTTCCATTGGGCGGCAACACAGATTGCGAAATCTCTAGTTGTTGTGTATTTTGTATAATACTCAATTTATTTGCTTAATTTTTATGGATTTATATCTGATATTTGTACACGCACTATATAGTGAACAGAAAACTATGTTATTAAGTTCCTTGAATACAAGATGAGTTCTGTGCACTTCTTTATTCATCTACAGAAGACGATGCAACAGTGAGGTGGCCCATTTGCGACTTAATGCTAGCAGGCACTCAACCAGTGAATGCTCCACAGCAGCAAGTGCATGCTGACATCACAGAGGAAAAACCATACAGACAGGTATTTTCTATCATGCAGATATTATCACATCAATCATAGACTACCATTATACTATAGAAGTGCTCAACTTCATTATTACATTCTTTCTGATGCAACCTAAAACACATTTCACTTTTGCAACCTCAAATTTTGATTTGTCGCCCCCTGAACCCCTGAAAATGTAAGAAGGAACACATTAGGAACCATACTTATCTTAGTTCCATAAATTACAGTTCCCTAATGTAAATACAGTATGAAAACAAAAACCTCTATATTTGGCACTGTTGAAGGCTTTATGTCATTGTTAACGCAATAACTTCAGACCAGATTAGGAGAGCATACACAAATTTGGCATGTATGGCTATGTCAGGATGATATGATCAAGTTTTGGGGTAGAAAGATCATTGGTCAAAGTTCATGAAACAATTAGATGCTAATACAACCAGAACTGAAAGATATATTTCTATCAAATTGGGTATCTTTAAATGCGATTACTGTTTAAAGGGAACTGGTAGCATTATTGAAGTTTGATGACAAAAAATGCTTAATTTTAATATGAAATGTTACTTATTATATTCCTACTACTGTACAAACCCTCTAAAATGCAAATTTCCTGAAAAAAACCCACAAACCACAACTATAAGCTTTTCTTTGAAAGTGGTATGTGTAAAATCTCCCTGCCAATTTTTGAATTCTCCCAACTGTTTTTCCTTGTAAGTATGACATAAAACATTGCTTTCAAAATCATTAATGACTCAAATGTTTAAAATGGTATAAAGAGTCTACCTTGCTTTGTAACAATTTAAATTAACCTTGAATTCAATTTAATTAATATAATGTAGTTGGGAGAATTTATAAATGAATCAGATCAGTTTTTCCCCATTTTAATTGTTGGTAATGTTCTGTTTTCACTCGAACTTTCAGATTGTCTTTAATTGTACAGCTAGCATTGAAGTCCTATCTTAGCAGTATTTTTATTTATCTAAACAATTTACCAGGTCCCTTTAAAGTTAATAAGTCTGAGGCAATTGTGTCATATGGGAAGCCATATATCTCAACTGTATGCAGTTAATTTTTTCTACAACTTGTAATTAACTTCCAATTATTCAAAGATACATGTATGGATAGTTAATACATGCGCACATATTACACATTAATAATAATAATAATAATAATAATAATAATAATAAATTCATATAGTGCAGCTTTTATACATTTCATTTGTTCAATCACCTGGTTTATGCTTGTCTGTTTGCTCAGGTTCATCTTGGACCCAATGCGAGGAAGGCTCAAGAGGACAGAAATACTGGAGGGAGATATGGTGGCCACCTACCGCGAGGCGTATAGCACACAATGACCACAGATAGGACAAGGACAAGATGTGGACAAGGTCAGGGAGGATGTCCTTGTACTAGAATGGTTTACAGGGACATTGGCAACAAAATGGAAGAAGATGATGGTTGCTGTCACAGGACAGCGGGACTGGAAGCAGGTTTGGGTTGAGACCATTCCAAGGGATAGTGTAATTCTCCTTCCTTTCACTCTGACAGCAAGAGACAAACTGCCACCTCAGTTAGTGATTCGATTGAAGGAGAAATATATGGATTATTTGAAGTAGGTATTCAGGCCTAGTTAAAGCCCTTCTATAGTGTTGGGACCCCCCCCCCCCCCAATTTGATGGCAATATTCCACATAGAGTGCGTACTGACATATGGTTTTCGATGAACACACAATTCTGCAAGGATTTTCATGACGCTAGTGATTGAAGACAAATTTTGGTAATAGAAATAAAGGAATTTCAATTTTTCTCTTTTAAGCATACAACTCAATTTTTAAAAAGATTTGTTTTTAAATCATCACTAAGATAACAAATGAACTTTCGAACATTAAGTTTTAAGTAACATGTATATGTGATAAATTGTTCGCCCTGAAACTGCACTGAAATATTTTATTCGGCTCAAGTTCTTATCTAGAAAATATCAGAGGAGAGACAGACTAATTCCATGTCAACTGTAAATGTAAAACATTTTTTTCCCGTATGAGTATAAATTTATCTCAAAATTGTTTGCATATGGGATGTAGTCTTAACCCCCTCCCCCCCCCCCATCCCCCACCCCTGCTTATTCACAGGCTGGCTGAGTCGTTGCGAAATTTTCGGCGCGATTTTCAGATTTTAAAACCCCACCTTGGAAAAAGTCCTGCGTACGCCCCTGTAAGTTGGTATAAAGCTTATACCATTTAGTGCCCTGTTGGTTGGTATAATGCTTATACCATTTAGTGCTCTGTAGTATACAAATAATACGCTGCCTTTGGAAGTTCTGGTTAAACCTATGCGCAAGAGGTGACTCCAATAGTACTATTTGCTGAGGGGTATATTTGTTTTATATCATGCATTAAAAATCTATTTAATTTTTTTTTTTAATCGCATTTTTGTGAAAAAAAATAAAATTTAGAATTAAAAAAAAATGTCAATTTTTATCAAATTTTAAAAAAAATATTTTGAGTCGTTGCAAAATTTTTGGCGCGATTTTCAGAATTTAAACCCCCCCCCCCTTTGGATAAAATCCTGCGTACGCCTCTGTAGGTTGGTATAACACTTATACCATTTAGTGCTCTGTAGATTGGTATAACGCTTATACCAATTAGTGCTCTTTAGATTGGTATAACGCTTATACCATTTAGTGTCTGTAGATAGGTATAACGCTTATACCATTTAGTGTCTGTAGATTGGTATAACGCTTATACCATTTAGTGTCTGTAGATTGGTATAACACTTATACCATTTAGTGCTCTGTAGATTGGTATAACGCTTATACCATTTAGTGCCCTGTAGGTTGGTATAACGCTTATACCATTTAGTGTCTGTAGATAGGTATAACGCTTATACCATTTAGTGTCTGTAGATAGGTATAACGCTTATACCATTTAGTGCTCTGTAGTATACAAATATACACTGTCTAGAGAGGTTCTGGTTAAAACTATCACAAGAGGTGACTCCAATAGTACTATTTGCTGAGGGGTATATTTGTTTTATATCATGCATTAAAAATTAATTAAATTTTTTTTTTTTTTAATTTTTTGGAAAAAATTAAAATTTAGAATTTAAAAAAAATGTCTAATTTTATCAAAAAAGATTTTTAATATTTTGAGTTGTTGCGAAATTTTTGGCGCGATTTTCAGATTTTAAAACCACCCTTTGAAAAAAATCCTGCGTACGCCTCTGTAGGTTGGTATAACGCTTATACCATTTAGTGCCCTGTAGGTTGGTATAACGCTTATACCATTTAGTGCTCTGTAGATTGGTATAACGCTTATACCATTTAGTGCTCTGTAGATTGGTATAACGCTTATACCATTTAGTGCTCTCTAGATTGGTATAACGCTTATACCATTTAGTGCTCTGTAGATTGGTATAACGCTTATACCATTTAGTGCTCTGTAGTATACAAATATACACTGTCTTGAGAGGTTCTGGTTAAGACTATGCGCAAGAGGTGACTCCAATAGTGCTATTTGCTGAGGGATATATTTGTTTGATATCATGCATCAATTTTTTTTTTTTTTTTTTTTTTTTTTTTTAAATCCTATTTTTTGGAAAAAAATAAAATTTAGAATTTTAAAAAAATGTCAATTTTTATCAAAAAAGATTTAAAGTATTTTGAGTCGTTGCTAAATTTTCGCCCTGTAGGTTGGTATAACGCTTATACCATTTAGTGCCCTATAGGTTGGTATAACGCTTTTACCATTTAGTGCTCTGTAGATTGGTATAACGCTTATACCATCTAGTGCTCTGTAGATTGGTATAACGCTTATACCATTTAGTGCTCTGTAGATTGGTATAACGCTTATACCATTTAGTGCCCTGTAGGTTGGTATAACGCTTATACCATTTAGTGCCCTGTAGATTGGTATAACGCTTATACCATTTAGTGCTCTGTAGATTGGTATAACGCTTATACCATTTAGTGCCCTGTAGGTTGGTATAACGCTTATACCATTTAGTTCTCTGTTGTTTGGTATAACGCTTATACCATTTAGTGCTCAGTTAATAAATGTAGCATTTATCATATCCCATCAATGTTACTGTATTAATAAGTGTCATATATCTTGTAATTTTCTTTTTGTGTTTGTATTTCTGAAATTATCATGTTATTTGTACTAAGCATTTTTTTAAATACTGAATGTCTTGCCTTACAAATAAAAATAAAATTACCAAAACAAATGAATGAGTGGCTGTTTTATTATTTGTGGCTTCTGTAATGCATTAACAACTCATGTGTAATTTATTAATTGATGATTTTATAATTCATGAACTTATTTAAGATTAAGCAGAACCATCATTAAAAGGGTAACAATAATTTGATTCTGGCTACTGGTATCTTTCACATAGCCTTGAAGAAAAGTAAAAGAGAAACCCAGAACCTGAAAATTAAACAATTTTGGTGTAAATCTGGATTTCAGCTGTCCAGATTGAAATAATTTGTTGTTTCAATAAGGAATCTAAAAGATCACGACGTTTCGTATGCTACTGCGATACTTCGTCAGGTGATAAAAACTATTATAAAATAATAATAATATTGTATGGCTTCTTTTTCGTGTGATACAAGCAGTGGCGTAATGAGCGAACAACGTTTGGGGAGCCGACAAAAAATCCGCGTCACCCTACTTTTACATGCAGGTCCCGCTGTACGTTTTTCAAAGTGGGGTCTAGGGGCGAAGGCCCGGCGGGGTCATGGGACTGAGTTCCCGAAGCTCAAGGGGTATGGGTTTCAGTGGCGGATCCAGGAATTTCTTAGTCTTACCGAGGGGCACAAAATGGCATGGGGTGAAATATATGTTAAACGATGATGCGACAGAGCGACGCTTTAGCCGCGAGGGAGCGGAGCTCCCAGAGTAGGAAGCAATTGCAATTTAAGAACCTTATTAGACGCATTTTAAGGCACTTCTTGGAGTAATATGACGTAAATTGATTTCTCCTTCCCAAGTCCAAGAGTAGGGATCTTTTGCAATTTGAGAACCACGTTTGGCGCATTAATGTCCACCGGCACTTCCTGGAAAAAGTTAGAGAAAAGTGAACTGTCATGTCGTGGGACGCTGTATATGCTTCGTTGCTGCACAATGCACAAAGACGGTGGTCCGGTACTTCAGGAGTAAAACTCTCAAAAAATATATCGAGTGTGTAAACTGTGTTGTAATCAGGGGCGTCGCTAGACCTTTTTCAGTAGGGGGTGGGGGGGGGGGGTTGTAGATGCAACCGAATACCGACAAAACGAGCCACCAATTACCGACAAATATATATTAATGCCAATGTCCCAATGTCTACAAATTTCATCCTATAAATCCGGGGCAAGGAACTAAGTTATATACATACCATGTTGGCAGCACGTAAATACACACGAAGAAGCAACCCATGCACGTCTGCTCCCAGAGAGCCCCAAGGCACGCAAACGCATTCACCTGCGCCACGCCCCATGCCTCCCCCGCTGTATCACTCTTGATCTACTTCTGAACTTTCCTGGATAAATCCTGATACTAGCTCTCTTCTCTTATCTGTGTTTTCGAGTCCCTTTTCTTTGACTTTCCTTCTTTGATCTGCCATCTTTTCTGTGAGCCAGGGCTTCCTTTTGTTCTTAGGTTTGGGGATTGTTTTCTGTGCTGTGTCTAACAACCTGCTTGACATCTTGCCAAAACTCATTCATACTTGTCATCGATTTTGCTGATGTTAAATCTCGTTGGTTTTCTTGGCTTCTTGACCCTTCTCAATTTCAAAGAGAAGGTTGAGTTCTGGGAAGAGGTGAAAAATAATTTGTGAGCGTTATCATTCTTATTATGCAAGTGTTGAAGAACATCAGACTACATGTTCCCTGAAAAGCATGGCTCTTCAAATGCCTTAATATTCTTAATATGTCATGTAACATTGTATAAAAAAAAGGGTAGGATTTTTACATTATACATCTTTCTGTTTACATTTTTTGTGTAACTTAACCAAGACTTGGCCAAATTTCTTATCATTTTGATGAATCTAGAACCTTGCAATACACACACATTCTTAAATGCTAGATGATCAACCTTCTGGTCGATTCCACACCGTTTCTTTCACAATGCAATCGCATGACCAGAACTCAACTTCATCTTTAAACGAAGAAAACTGTTTTATATTATGTAAAAGGAAAAGTAAACCACTTGAACGAGCTTACTGTGTTGCATTCCATAGGCCAGGTATCAGGTATATGTATACATTATCATCATTCTCCTTCTATGATGTTAAAAGTTCATTTTATTAAGATATGGACCACTCTCGACATAAATATAGGCGCTGTATATAACTCTCCATATTTGATGAAATGACGGATAGTAAAGTTAAATGATATAGAAAAAAACAATGGTTAAGATGTAATTGTAGTCGCCGCCGTAATCTAATAGTAGCGAGTTTTCGCTCAGCAACTTACAGACCTTCGCGGTAGCAGAGCACTCAGGTTTACGGCCGTCGCAAACAGACCGTCCTCGATACAATACGTGGTTTCGCTTTTCGGTGAATGCGTACGTATCTCTACGGAGGTATTGCATTTGCAATGCCATTAGGCAATTTTCGTAATGTAACCAAATTTAATGCATACGTCTTTGTGAAGTGCCTCGATACAAAATATTTCATTCACCTGATAAGGATAATAGTATTTCAATAGACAGAATCCAAACTGCATACATTAGTTGTTGCCAGTTCGACAAACATTAGGGGTATTTCGCAAGCTCATTGCGGAAAGAGAATTTGCGGTTCGTGTGCAAAATCGAGAAGCTGCTATAGTAACAGCAGGGTGATCGCTGAGGTACTGAAATCCAGAACGGGTTTTGACCAAATTTACGGGCGTTCTCAATGACGCCCCAAGTGAATAAACAGCCAATCAGCGAGCTTGTACCAAAGATGGTGATGAGAATTTCGTCGTCTAATAACGAAGAATGACGAATTTTAATGGGCGGATCTAGCTTTTCTCTATGGCGTGGGCGGGGGGGGGGGGGTTGACATTTGAAAAATCGCGCCGACCAATATTTCGCTTAGTTGGGGGTAGGGAGCACTAAAATTTGTTTTCAATTTCTAAAAAGTGCCAACCAATATTTCGGGGGGGGGGGTAGAAAGCACCTTGGCCAGCCCAAGGGGGGATTTAAACCTCCTAACCCCCCCCCCCCTAGATCCGCCCCTGACACGAATGACTCTTCGTGAGTTTTGTTTCTTCCGATGTATTGTATAGTGTATGTATATAGTGCTGTATTGCGTGGAAGGGAACAGGCCATTCTCGTAATGTAATCAAATTCAATACATACGTCTTCGTGAAGTTCCTCAAAACAAATTATTTCATTCACCTGTCTAGGATTCGCAATAGTCAGAATGCAAAATGCATGTATTAAGTGTGGCAAC